CAGAGCTCACTTCTCCAAGGCTGCAACATGTCAAACAGCTGGTGCTCATTAATTATCTGGCACAAATATTCTCTAAGAAGAATTAAGAGCATAAGACTGGTGTTGCAAGCTTAGCAGGTTCAAATCCGACTTGGCTGTGGTTCCTTCCCTGAGCCTGACAGAGCTCACAAATTAAGAGGCTCCCTGCCCTGTCCCATTTTGCAGAAGAGAGTTCATGTCCTCATTAATTAAATCTTTCAAATATGATCAGATTAGGAAGTTGTGACAGCAGATGCAGATTTCATAAAGTAATGAGGCCACTGAAAGTAGCCGCTCTATTATTTTTAGAGGGGCTGCTTCCTGGTTTGCCCTCTGTGTTCCAGGGCTTTTCGGAGTCGCCAAAAGCATATTGGTGGCTGCCCAGTAAGGCTTGCTGGGTTTGCTCTAGAACATGCACAGCTTTGCGGTGTGCCCAGCATCCATAATAAAACCCCTGCAACATCCCCCTGCTGTTTCCACACAGATGCCCCCGTCAGCCCCCCAGTCACACAGAAGCACCCTATGCATGCACGCACGCACACCAAGATACACATAGGCACATGCCTCCCTTCTCCTCCTCAGTGCAAGTACTTACCCCTTTTCAGGTTCTTCCCACATCCACGCAGCCCCCATCCATTCAGGCATACAAGCAGACTACCCCCAGCTTGCTCACGACTGGGCTCCACAGGCTTTCTGCAGACCTCTCTGGCTCAAGCTGGCTTCCTGTTGCCCTTCCTAGCCCCTCCCACTGCTTCCTGGAGCTTCCTCACCTCCAGCTTGGCCAAAGTCCCTGGGAGCTTTCCCAATCCCCCCTCCTTTTGCTTGCCGGGTGGGGGCACTGCAGAAAAAAACACAGAGCCGCAGTCCCCATGGCCTTCATTTTATAAGAATCTTACTGTGGTTCAAAGGGAGCCATGGGAAATGAAGGTGGCGGCAGCTGCAGGCCCTCAGTTGGCCTTCGGGTGAACCTAGCTGGCCTCAAGAACGTGCGTTCAGTAAAAATTTGGGATGTATAAAGCAACACAAGGGTCCCAAGAAAGGGGTCTGGGGGAACATGGATGTCTGAGAGCAGCAGTCTGTTAAAGTGAGTAAGCCAACTTGCATGCTACAAAAATGGACAATTTGCATCCTGGCTTTTCCAGTCACACCAACCCAGACAGACTGTACAGCCCCTACATATTCTCACTTTGCCCCCCCACCCCCATTTCAGCACAGTGTTCAAGCTAACCCATTTCAGAGGCCCCAAAGGTCAATGGTGAGAAAGCAAAGGTTTCATGTGTGAATTTGCACTGCACTGACAGTTAAGAGATGGGACATTACCATTGAAGCCGTAGGATCACCAGTATTCCTTCCTGTCTTTTTTTTTCCTATGGGATGCAGAGTATAGAAGGTGCGAACGGAGTAAGAATCACCCACACAGAAATTCTCCTTGCTTCAGTGACTGCTTTGCTATAGGACAGGTTTAATAAGAAAAAGGTAAGATTTCCCCCCTAGAAGGAAGAAGAAGAAAATAAAAGAGAAGGAAGGATGGATGCAAAGGGGGGATACACAAGGGGGCAGGGGGAGAGAAAATCAATTGTCAAGAAAGCAAAGAAATAAGAACGTCTTAGCAGGCTTTAAAAACTCCTCACATACCAATCCTTCCAAGAAAAATACCATGTGGATCATTAGTGTCATTGCTGGGATGCAACATACTTAACTGGTCAAAGTGATACTGCCCAGAATTGCAGAAAACACATAGAAGACATTCTGCTTTAATGAAGTTAATCAAGCTGAATGCTTCATTGACAATTTAGTTCATGACGCTGGATAGATTTTACGTGGCTTTGCACCACAGTGGAAGAAGCTACAGCATAATTATGCTCTGCGTGCACCTTGCTTGTGTGTGCTTAGCATTAGCCATTATTCTCTTTTTTTCTTCCTAAGTATATAATTTTATTCTGCAGAGAATCCCATGAGAACCCAGAACCCAAAACAAACCCACTGAAGACCATTGAACTGATTTCAGAATAATGTGTATTTGAGATCAAGCTGCCAGTATTCCTGTGAAAACATGGATTGCTATATGAACAGCTCCATGGAGGGACATAAACCTGTTTTTGAGTGAAAGAAGAAAACAATTACATCCTAAGCTGCTGAAGGGAACAGCAGAAATTAAAAAGGACAAGGTAGAACTTTGATTCCTCAAAGACTCCACCAAAGATTTGCCATCTTGTTCATACAAGACTAGTCAGAAGCATTCACAAAGCCCACTCCGAGATGACACGTCCAATGCTTCTCAAGCCGATGTAGATGGCAAAGTGCAACACTACACACAAGGAGAAATGAGCAACACTTTGATTCCCTATCTGTATGGACTGGCATGTGCCTTGAAAACCTAGCCCCACCCTGTCAAAATCTGGAGCACTGACTTCATCCCAAGGATTTGAGCTTGAGCGTTGAGGGCTCTGTGACACAGCCGGTCTGGATCAGACATTTCCTGGCAAGTCCGTTGCCAAGAAAGCATGTCTCATCCCTGAGCCCTGACAAATGAAGCAAATGGAAACATGTCAGGAAGCCATATTCAATGGGCTATTCTGCAATTGCCAGGAGGATTGCGGGCCCATTGTTCTGGGAGTGGACTAGGAAAATATGCACGGCCTTTTAAAAATGTAACTGTGAAGGGTCCATCTTACTTTCATCAAGGAGAAGAGAAACTGTGCTATTGCTCGGCAGAATAATTTCAGAAATTCTTGGGTGAGATCCAAATCAAAAAAGGTTGTCTAATCGGCTAGGACAACCCACAATGTACAGAATTTAGAATGACTAGTTCCTTCTTGGGAAACAGATATAACTAAGCCTGGGAGAGTTGCATCATGAAGCAATGCACAGCCTATAAAACTGGTACATGCAATCATTGCCTTGATGGCTCATGATTTTTTCCCTTCTGCATCTTGCTATTCCTCGCTAGGCAAGAGGCATTTCCTTTTGCGAAGCTCAGGAAGACATGAACAGATAAGCAGGCATAGGAAATCAAACTCGGCAAGATCATGGTGGCCCTTGAACTTTGCACAACCGGGAAGCACAGCTAAAGTTTTCAGCATGTGGTGCCAAAGTATTCACCCCCTACCAGAAGAAGGGACAGACTTGAAGCTTAGCAAATTTGCTATGAATTGTGGCAGCATTCTGTGTTACAGCTGTTCAGTCCGTGCAAGGAAACTAGCAGTCTATTCTGATACGACTCAAGGTTCAGACGCCACAGGGCTTGAACACCTAGCCCTTGAGCTCAGGACTAAGTGACCTGGGCAACCACCCAGGGCTGCTGTTTAAAGAAGGGATGTGCAGGTATGAGAGGCTCAGGGACACCAGAGAGTTAATCTGGTGCCCCTGCCTGAGATAACGTGCCTGCCATCCTTGTGTCCACAGTTGCTTTTGGAGGCTGCCAGCTTCTCTCTGTGGGCTGGCCTTCTGCCTGCTTCCCTGTCCCCCAAGCAAGCAGCTTGCCCCTCAGCCTAAACAAAGGACCTGAAGACATTTCCCTACACCATGAAAAGTCAGGGGGGAAAGATCTCCTTATTAGGGAGCTCCTTCCAGTATTTTGCTATTAGAATGGTAAGCTAGTCCATCAGCGGGATGAACTGAAACACCCCAGCACGTGCAACGATCAGAAAAAAAGAAAAATAAAGAGTTCAAAAAGATGCATTTTGGGAACTGAAACCATAGCTCCAAAGAAATATTGTAAATGTGTTTGCCACATTGTTTTATTATTCCATTGCATGTATATTCTGCTTTTTTTCCTCTAGCAAAGAACCCAAGGTGTCTTGCATAGTTCTCCTCCACTCCATTTTATCCCCACCACAACAGTCCTGGCAAGTGGGTTGGACTGAGAGTAAGTGAGTGGGCCAAAGCCACTTAGTGAGCTTCATGGCTGGGTGGGAACTAGAACCCAGATCTCGCAGGTCCCCAGTCCAGCACTAACAGCACCACACCACACTGGTTCTCCAGAAGAAACCCTCATTAGCCAATGCTATTCTTTGCATAATGTATAACCACATTATACACTTGCTACAGGATTTTGTATTCTTTTAACAGCAGGAAAAGTCTATTGCTTTCTTGTTTCAGATAGGGTTAACTAAGGTTATATCCCTAACTGACAAGGAACAAAACTATCCTTTTCATACTTTTCTTAGAATCTGTTTATATAACTCTTCTGTTCATATAGGACACACCTTTTCATATTTTTCTTCAGAAAATGTTTATATAACTCTACTGATCATGTAAGACACGTTGCTCTCTGTCTTCTGAGCTTGACAGGGGAGTTACCAATTCCCAATCTTAGGTAAGTTAGAATTTTGCTTATCACCTATTGAGTTTCCAAGATAAAACAGAAATTCACAGGCATGAGAGCCAGCTTATCAGAGGAAGAATTTTTATAACATTAAGAACTGGAACTGATTAAAGGAAGACATGCCTCCACCAGTATGCTGTGCTGCCTGCCCTAAATATTGTAGGTTCAAATGTTGACAACTAGATTACAGAGAAGGCTCCAGAGAATTGAGATGATTTAGATTGATTTAGATGATTTAGAATTCTTCACTCAAAAACATCCTGCCTAGACAGCTGATTTCTGACTTTTAGAGGGTTGGCAACTATGAGTGAATGGCATTTGAGTTGCTGAACACAGATGGAGAATGATTTTATGTAATTTGGGGTTATTTTATGTAATTTAGCTGCTTGTTTGATAGTGCAATTTTTATATTGTATTATATACATTTTAAAAATAAAATAGTAATCAAACATAATTGGTTTTGTTAACCAGCATGCAAAGCAAGAGTCTTTTGCATCACTGTAAAGAAACATCCCATTTCACCATTATTTAGTACTACGTTGCTTCTCTAGTGACTCCAAAAAAAGGCCAAATCTATGTCTGAAAGAAACCTTCCAGCATGCACAGATCCCTTGCACACATGCAGCTTGCAGATCAGAATCAGACAATCTCTTACCTGGTTAATTACATAAACACCATAATCGAGTTGCTGTCTTTGAAGAATCGGATGGAGGTAATACAGCCAGTATTTCAAGTGTTCATCTCGTTTCCTGAACGGGATGATAATGGCCACTTTCTGCAGTGCTTTGCAGTCCTTTGGAGTGTAGCGGCCTCCATCTCTGACTTCTGGGTTGTTGGCCTCCACAGTCTTCAAATTTACAGGCTGGGAAAACTCCACATGCAAGGCGCCAACTGGGTGGAAGAGCAAGAGAAAGCAGGACATTATTGCTTTGTTAAGCAGAGCTCCAGTCTAGAAAAGTCTCCTTAGACAGTGGTAGGAGCCAGTGATGTAGTTAGGGATACATTTAGGAATGGTATTGTATGAGAAGCGTTAATTTGATAATTCAGAAATGGCAGACTGGGGTCATAAAGGTTTCATTTCCTAGCAATGTGTGGATACAGCCACATGACACATGTTATGCTCAGCTGCACCTGACTTTTTTCCCCAGAACATTTTATTTAAACTTCTATCTCCTTTTACATTTTTTTCCCAATGGCATCTCTGGTAAAACTGTAACACAGGTAGGAAATATGTTATAATTTCTATTGGATCATACATGGACACAGCTGCTTGTCTAGAAAGATATTCCAGATTAAAATGCTTGGGTCTTTTAAAAATTCCCCATCAGTGGCCCAATGGTCTAGATGCTCCATGATGGAGCTGTTGTCCTGCCAGATCTCTTGTAACATCCAGGTACACAGGCTAGAATTCCTTCCTAGCAGATGCAGTCTATGAGCAATAAAAGATAATTCTTCCCATTGCAAATCTGTTTTTCCTATCTCGGGCTGCAAAAGCTCTAACAGTCCATTCTACCAGGTCCGCATTACCTTTGTGAAGGCCAGCATGGCACACTGGTTAGAGTGTTGAACTGGAGACCTGGGAGATCCAGGTTCTAGTCCCCACTTGGCCATGAAGCTTACCGGGTGACTTTGTGCCAGTCCCTCACTCTCAGCCTAACCTACATCACAGGGTTGTTGTCATGATAAAATGGAATGGATGAAGCCTGCGTAAAATGCCTCAGGTTCCTCACAAGAGGAAAAAAAGCAGGATGTAGTAATAACAACAACAACAAATTATTGTTGGGAACATCAGTTTGGGAGAATCCTCACCACCACCACCAGCAATAACCCTCTCTGCTGATTTTGCATGGATGAAAATGGGTCTTTTTCTTTTAAAATGTGCCAGCCCAAAAGACCTTTGCTGATCTTTGGAATATCTCTTTAAAAGTATCGAATGTAGGAGGGACAGAGAGCAAACTTTCTGAATTCTTTTGATACTGCCTATCCAACTCCACCCTCATTCCTTGGCTTTAATCTTAATAAGGCACCTGAATTTGGAGTTTAACTGTATACTTTTGATCACCCCAGGATTTTAACCCTGCATGCCACTTTGCTTGCTCTGCTTTGCCCAAGGACTCTGCTCAGGGCATTTGCTGGCAGTTTCCCCCATGACTAAAAACCTGCAGACTTAGGAGTTCCCGATTTACTTGCACGTCCACATGCATGTGCATGCAAACACACACAGCATTTGTTTAACAGAACTGTGTGAGAAATCAGGAAGGCTGGCCCACCCTGCAGTCGGTCCTTCACATTTCTTTTAAAAAAAGTTGTGGTTTTCCAACCTCTCCAATTCTGGGGATTGGTATTAAGATGGTAAACAGGTTCTTGGGTTAGCATTAGAACAGGACACAGAAGGGCATCCATTATGAAATATAAATTGCAAATGGTAAGCATGGTTTCCTACAAGCATGCAATTTCTCTCCGATGTCCATCTGTGTCCATGTGAGATCAAGCATGCATCGGACAACTGCAGCCGGCAGGTTTCAGAATTCATCTTACCATTTGCCAGGATAACAGAGGTGATTGAAATAGCCCAAAGCTGGTGGAATTCCCAAAGGTGGTCTGGTGGCCACCCATCCTGGTTCGAACAGGCAGCTTACCAAGTAGTGACACATAGGCCATGATAAGCTATTGCTTGATATAGGCATCTGCTTTCCGCCTTTGCTCCTCCTCCTCCTAATGCATGAGGCTTGGCCAAACTGGGCTACCAGCTGTTGGATAAGCTGGATTTAAACTACCAGGCTTTTAAAAGGACCTCTTGGGAAGACTTAGATAAAGGGTTTTCTTTCATGCTTTAGGGTTTAAGGGAAAATCTCTTCAGCAGGCATAGACAGAAGGTTGAATGCAGCACGGCGGCTTAATTTTTCAGGGTAGGCCCAGTCTCTTGTGGTACACTAATATGCCTCAGTACACAATTTGGGGATTACTACTGTAAGTGATAAGCTGATTGGGGCTTGGGATCTTTAAAACATTCCTTCGTTCATTTTTGCACATCAGACAATAGCACTAAGCCACTATTATCTCCATATTACAGATGACAGTGCTGAGGTAGAGAGAATAGCGAGAGGCTTTGGTCACAGTGCATGTCTGTGGCAAAAGGAAAGTATGAATTCAGGACTCAATGGTATACCAGCTCATTTGCTTATGCTACGTTTACCCTGAGGTTCCATAGACATCTCTTTTTCTTCTCCCTCATCTCCATTTCTGACATATCACACATTATTAGATAAGGAAATCTAAACTGAAAAGGGAGTTTTGGATGTAGAGAAACCTGCAAAGAGCAAAGGGAACTGCAACAAATAAGATGATCTTGTTTTTCAACTCCTTCTTCCTGTCAAAACCCTAACGTTTTGGCCCAAACAACACTTTATGATAGGCACACACAAAGCAAATCCCAAAGAAGCTACAGCTCTGGACATCTTGCAGCCCTCCAGATGTTCTGGCCTGCAGCTCCAGTAAGCCCAAGCCAGGAAAGAAAATGGTGAGGAACAGTGGCAATTCTGGGCCAAAACATCTGGAGTACCAGAAGTTCTCCACCTACACTAAAGCAACACTGAAATCAATGAGGAGCCTCTTACCAGTGAACACAAGATAAGCCTGAAAAATTATCTTGAAACAGTGTGTGCATTATATCCAGTGAACTTTTGTCTCTGTTATAAAGCCTCAGACCACCAGAGTCTCAAATGGTTGGTTAGAAACACATCTGGATTGCTGTTAACTCTGATTAACGGCAGTGTACTTGGGATCTTGACCCACATTTAAAGGTGGCTTAAGGCCAAATATGAAAGCAAGAGGGTAAAGGCAGAAGTAGCTGCCCCCGTGACAAGATGCTTTAGCTCATGTTATATGTTCCATGCCTGCACCAGTCCTTCATAATCCACAACCTTGTAAACAGCCCCTCACATCAGCACATCTCCAAACAGTCAGTCAGAGAAGCTTTTCTAAATCAGAATTTGAGTCATTTTCTCCACTCCCCTCCTTCTAGGGGTTGATGTGCCACAAGCGACTAATGCAGATAACTCTGTGCAGATGTGCACAGAGCAACAGTTCTATGACCGTATTTTCAAAGCCGGATCTACCATTCAAAGAAACTAGTATTCTGTCTGCTGCATATTGTGAAGTGTGTGAAGCAGCGATCTTGAAGAGGAGGAGGCCTGGCTGACACCTTTCTGGGAACCCTGTTTTGCCTTGCATTCTTTCATGGAAGAAAAGGGTGCATGTGTGTGAATGTAACAAATGTATAAATAAAAGACATCTTGGCATGATAACTTGTCCCTGTGTTGCACAAACCTCAGCGCAGCAACTAACCCATAGCTGTTTCTGAAACATTAGGTGGGAATCATCTTGGCAACTGTCATTTTCAGATGTTGGCTTTGCTTGTTTATCCGTAGGAACTAACCACATGCAAAACAAAACCTCTTTTTGGTTTAGTTTACCCACTGAAACTAGGCACCTCCTAAAACTTCTGTATTAAAATTCTGAAGCAAAATGAATCACCAACACAACAGCTGGCAATGCTTTGTCAAGTTTCAGACACCTCACACATGGGCACATGTGTGTGTGCACACGCACACACTCCAATCATCTTTCCAAATGGCATTCATGGCTCAGGATACTTGGAACGCACTCACGTAGCAGGAGGCACCAGAAAGTCTGAGAAAAAGCAAATGTTATCCTTCCTAAGGAAAATTAAACACGCCAGGGGTAGATCTTTGTTTAAACATGGATTTCCCCTAACAATCATGTAAAAATGGCAGGGGGTAGAACTGAACTTGTGGATTTCCCATTTGAAGTATTGCACTAGGCTCTGTAGTCTGGTTTTGAAGAACGCCGACGCTTTAACAAGCTGCCTGCCAAAGTTGCTGGTACTTGCTAGGCACCCTTTGTCTGGTGGAGCTAGTTGTGTTGTCGGAAACAGACAGCAAGATCTGTTAGAGAAGAAATAACCTTCAAATAACCCATGGGCTGTGCTGCCCAGGTTCGGCATTTGTGTACTTCGCAAATTTAGCCAGGCATGGCTTGTTTAGGCCGCAAAAATAATGTGAACCAGATCCGTAAGCAGGAGAACCATGTTTAAACACACTAATGTGTGTCTAAATTGTATCTAAAGCAAACCTCGAGGGACAGCACATAACCTTCCATTTGGCTAAGGCACAAAATGCCGAAAGGTATGTGGCAAAGAATAAACAAAGTAATTAAAGGGCACCTGGGCTCCAAGCACACCCACACAGAGGAGGTGGCTGTCCTACCTCTGAGTTCCTTTGCTCTTTTGCTTTATCCTCCCTTGCCACCTTGCAGCTGGACTTCATGGGGGGGGGGGGAGGGCAATCCTGCCACCCCACTGTTTTCTCTGTGATTGGCTTGTTCAAGCATCCTGGGCACGCTTGCTCTTGCTCCTCCCTCTGAACACACCCACGGAAACCCAGTCACTGGGCGTATGGTTAGTTGGATTCTTCTCTAACAGAGCATCAACTTGGCATGATCAACACTGAAGCCGTGGCTTCTGAGCTTCTTCTTGTGATGGCTTTCTTCCACATCTTCTCTCCCTGTATTTTACTGGCTCATTTCCAAATCTAGAGTGAAATGTACACAGGAGTAAAATAGCCATTCCTAAATTATGTGGATTAGTTATAGGCCCCTGTAAGAGGCCCTGGCAGGGGCAGGAAAGAGAGAGAGCCAGGCAAAGCCTATTGTGAGCCGCCCCGAGGCTATGGCGAATGGGGCAGCATAGAAATTTTCTAAATAAATAAAAATAAATTTTCTAAATAAATAAAAATAAAGCCTATCGCATTATCTGAGGAGTGGGAGGAGAGCCAGAATGGGAAGCCCATGCCTGCTACTCATAATATGTG